TTTGTCTTTCTGTGACTGCCTGAGCTTGAGGTTCACCCCTGTTGTGGCCTGTGGCAGGTCACTTGACACAGAGGCTGCGGCTGGTAGTCTGTGCCTTCGACACCGGCCCAGGGGGCAGGGAGGGAGGGAGGACATGAATAAATGAGAGAGGCAATGAATGAGTGAATTCATATATTCTATATACAGGAAGGTATAAAATAATGAAAATACATCTCTTCGGCAGACGCTGTATGTAAAAATGTGGGCATGGGGCATATGTGTTATTTACTCACATAGAAATGACGAACTTATTTGTCATTTGTATGTTTGTCATTTACAAAGCACCCGGACACGGATTACTATTTTTTATTATTTTCTATGTACATAGATGACACATTGCTGTATGCCCGCATTTTGACGCACAGCTTCTGCCCAGAGGTAGAGTTTCTTGTTTGGAATTTGCCCAGTAGGGCACTGAATTGTGTGTTCCAGTTGCTAAAAAAGCTCTCCGGTGAGTAAGCACACACGCCCATTTTTACAAAGGACTCAACGAGGAGTTTAAAATCTTGCGTCTCGGGTTTTGCTGGCACCAGCCGGCCTTCGCCGTGAGCATGACAGACACCCTGTCCTTCTGTCTCCGGGCCCCAGGCAGCCATCAGTCTCCATTATGCGAACGAAAGGAACGAGCATGTTGATCTCCAAACATTCCTACCAAATTAATTGTACAAATTGAATATAGCCCTTTAAAATGGTTTGAAAATGACTTCCTTGCAGAAAATTCACTTCCTCTTCCCGGTCCTGGTCTATCAAAGCACAACGTTCCCTGAGGACAAACTGTGCCAATTCAGACTGTCCTCCCTCCGAAAACCTCAGGGGGGAAGTGGTCCCCACTTTCATATCTTTTAAAGAGCCAGATGGGATTATTCGCCCCACCCCTCCGCTCGTGTGAAAAATTAACAAAGGTAGTTGTCTTCTCAGCAGAAGACAGCGCACCTCAGGGGGCTGCTCGGCCCCTTGCTCAGCAAAGGACTGGCCCCTGGGAAGTGCTGGCCGGAGGGGCCACAACTGTGCCCCCTGGCGGGTTCCAGGGGGGCAGAAGCCAGCGTCTTCCCTCCTCAGACAGCGCCTGAGTGCTGCGCACGACCCCACAAAGCCAGGGCTGTGTAATGTATTCAAGAAGACCTAAGGGTTTACTCTCCAATAAGGATGGAAAACATCTGAGGACCCCACTGCAAGCTGATCGTAATACGGCCTCACATAAAAAGTTGGTAATTAGTCCCTGAGTGAATAAAGTGGGATAGATAAGAGATTGATACTTAGAGGAGCAACGGAAAATGCTCGGCCAGTCATCAAAATTTAAAGGCTATGGAGAAAGGGCTTGAGAAAATGCTTCCGTCAGTTTACATGCGGTTTTCAACCCAGGGTGTGTAATGATAGGGTTCATTAACTTGGGTTTTTTTAATTGTATTCAAATGAAGCTGGCATCAGTTTCGAAGGGTCAGGGGTCATGCCCAGCGCAGGAGTCTTTGAGATCCCACCTCATGCGCCGCAAAAGAACTGGGGGACCTTGGGTCTCGGGACCAGAGTCTCGGGCTACTTCCTCTTCTAAATTCCAAAGGGGGCACATGCTACTTAGTGTGGGAACCCAACAAACAGCAGGTCTCAAAAACGTGCATGGAGTCACACGTCCAGATTTTGCTTTTCGTGCAATTTAATGTCAGGTCGTCGGTGAATATCGGCGTGGGGGTCTCCTGCGGCAGATGAGCTGAGACCCAGCCGTTGTCAGCGTGGGGGGGCTTGGGTGGCGGGAGGAACATCCTGGAGAACGTGGTTGCGTCTGCCAGTGTATCTCGTCTTTAAATCCCCACCAAGGGGCACGAATTCTCAGAAAAACTGATCCCATGAGTGTGGTAGGAGGGCACTCCCATTCCTGACTCTTCCAAAACAGTGGACACATATGAAGGACAGAGAAGGGAACCTCCCGAGTCCCCTGAGAGCGGGTGTCACCTGTGTCGCAGCGTTTTCGCCGGCACCCTCGGTCACGATACATCAGTTTTCGAAAGCAGCTTCGAGTTAGGAAAAGGAAGGAAACCGGCTTGTCAGATTGTTCGTGTAACAGGTCTTTTCTCACTTGCCGCCCCCTGGGATGAGAGCCAAGCAACATTAGTTTTCTCCGGGGCGGGGGTTTGCGTTGATGGAGACACAGTCCTCGCCGCACGCTGGACAGTTAATAAAACAGGGCGGCGTGCAGGGAGAGGGACACCCGGCGGAGAAGGCGCCCCGAGAGGAGCAGTGGGTGGTCCAGGAAACGAGTCACTCCATCCAGATCTTTCTCGTCCTCCTTTTAACCTCATGGCTTACGTATCGGGATTTTGCCACCCAATTACAAATTGCCTGAATGGACAGAGAAACAAAGCGGTCAGTCAGCAAGTTCCTCTGGGGCACTGCGTGGCATCTCTCGGTGTAGTTAATGATACACTCACAGAAACAGCTGAATGGATAATTAATTCAGCCATGTGGATTCAACTCTGATGAACTTCAGAGGAAATTTGCATGGATGGCCAAGTACGGGAAATCTGCAAATGTTCCTTTAGAAGGATATTGTGAATATTCTTAAACTTTTGGGAGAAAGGTACCAGAGAATGCTGATCTAAAGAATTTAAATTATTTTCTGCAGCAACAGAACGAGCTAAACTAGAACTTGACCCATCCTTCAGCTTACATTTATTAGGAGTTTTTTCTTTTCCTTTCTTAACAAGGTGGCTTAGTTTATCATAGGAGGTAGAACTTAGTTTCTCAGAAGCACATTTATCAGAAAAAGAAAGTTTCAAAAACAGCGCCCTAAAAAGACAATTATTTGTGTATCTTACATTCTGCACTGTGCAAATTTCTACGTCCTCCTTCTTCATCTCTGTGACTATTGTTAGCCTTTCTTGCTGTGAGAATATCTTTTTCACTGTAGCATAAAATAATCCCGCTTTTCACCTTTTCCTCACGCGTGTGTTTGAATCCCTGCAACCCTGGGTGTTGCTCGTTCGTGTGTACGGGGGGAGGGGGACTCGGTGCCTGAGGTGGGCGGAAGGCGGAGGGGCAGCCCCGGGGCGGGTCAGGACGCCGACAAGCTACCTCCGTGCCCCGGTGCTCTGCCCGGGCGAGGCTCAGGGAGGGCCAGGGTCTGTAACCGGAGGAGCCCACCGGCGCGTAACAGGAGGGGCAGAGACAAAGCCAACAGGAACGTGGGTTTTTCTGTCACGGACCCAGGCAAGGCGCCTCCAAGGTGTTTCCCGTGGTTTACATTTTGTAAGACGGAGCCAAATGTGATGAACACTTAGAAGTTACTTTTACGTCATGTCTAATGATGTCCAAATATTTTCAGTAAGACGGATGGGAAATGGTTGACCGGTCGAGGGCCACGTGGGCAAAAGTCGTTTTAAAGGCCGGAGGTCGCAGTAGGGTGGCATTTGCCATACTTTTCCTTAACAAATAACCAACTATTTTGGATTCTCCCGTCTCACCTTGGAATAAATGCCGTATCCAAGGCTCACGGGATCTATTTCAGTGCAAGTGCTCACTGATTTTAGTTTGGGGCAGACACGTGGGAGTGGGAGTGGGAGTGGGTGGGGCACCTGAGTGCAAAATCACGGCCCAGATGTAAACACGGAAGGCGGCACGGACGCATCTGTCCAGCAAACCGAGGCAGCAGCCTCGTTGCCGCAGCACCCAGAGCCCCCGGCACGGACACGCCCCTGTGTACAGACTACATCTCCCAGCAGAAAGTGTCTAGACCGTTGGGTAGGAGTTACTATGGTAACTGTGAACGGAGTTTGCCACACTTAACCTGTGAGTCATAGCATGAGGTGGTTTTCTTCAGACTCATTCTTAGTTTTGTCCAATTAGAAGAGACAGCGGGGGGCGGGGGGCAGGGGGCAGGGGGGCGGCTGCAGGTTTATTTACATCCTTACCATGATGTGAGGAAACGCGCACACCTCCGCACATTCTGCAGAGGCTTCTGTGAATACACTGTATAAAAGCTGTACCGCGAGGGTGGGTGAACTTCAGAGGAGGGGGTCATGGCGGCCACTGTCCCTCCGTGTGTGTGTGTGTGTGTGTGTGTGTGTGTGTGTGTGTGTGGACTTGCACGTTCATTTGCTTTTTCTTGACTTTGCCTCCCTGTCACTCAGGGATTATACAGACCTCAAGGGTAGATGCCTTCAGCCGAGGGGGTGGTCACCAGGAGGTGACCGGTGGCTGAATGAAAGGCCAGTGTCCACCTCCCCTACCTGGGTGACCCGGGATGCAAAGCAACGCCAAGCGTCCGGCTGGAGCCCCCGCGTTCAGGTGAACAGGCACCGGCCATCCCGGCTGGCGCTCCGCCCAGAGGACAAGGCGTTCATTTGAGAAAGATCATTAGTCACCGAGATCTGTGTCTGAGCACACCCCCGGTAGCCAGGGCTCTGCCGGCGGTCACTGGAGTGTACCAGATGGCCCATTAGCATAGGCTCGACAAGTCAGGGGCTTTCAGACTCATTTAGAAAATGTCAAACAGAAACAAGAACCCTGTCACTTTTTATTAGAATTAACTACATCAGACCCTGGGCACAGATTTCACCTTGGGTCAGAAAAATTAATACAAAGTTCCGTGGATCCGGCAGCGCACGGGGCTGAGATGGGTCTCCCTCCAGGGACTCATTTGCCGGCACCGTAATGATCCCTCTTCTTTCGGGTCCCTCTCCCTTCCCTTTGGTAAGACTTGAGAAGAGCTGACCTTGCTCCAAACCCGTCGATGTCTAACTGATGGGAGGCAGAGGCAGAATTTCAACAAGACCCTCTTCCCCACGCCCGTTCCTGAGCGCGCCCGGGAACCTGGGTGCGTGGGGCTGGCGGACGGGGCCGCGGCGCAGACTGTATGCTTTCTGTCCGGAGGAAAAGACCTCCCTGCGTGGCCCCCGTGGCCGCAGCACGCAGAAATGAAACCACCATTGAAATCGTGGTTTTTGTTTTTCCTTTTTCTTTCCATCCAGATGTCAAAAACCTCGAGAACTTCCAGCTGGTGGAAGGGGTGCAGGAGCAGGTGAACGCCGCCCTCCTGGACTACACCTTGTGCAACTACCCACAGCAGGCGGAGAAGTTCGGGCAGCTCCTGCTGCGGCTGCCGGAGATCCGGGCCATCAGCATGCAGGCCGAAGAATACCTCTACTACAAGCACCTGCACGGGGACGTGCCCTACAACAATCTCCTCATCGAGATGCTGCACGCCAAGAGGGCCTGAGGCGCAGCCCGCGGCGCCGCTTCCACCGCGAGAGACTGGTGGGGGAGGGGGTGAGAACAGGAAGAGAGAAAGAAGGAAAAATACTCTGAACTTCTCCAAGCAACACTAATTAAAAACTTGGTTTAGAGGGACTGAATTGACAAAGGCGTAGTAATCAAATACTTAATAGCAAATAAATGATGCATCAGGGTATTTGTACTGTAAACTGTGAATCAACAGCTTCATATCCCCAGAGGAGTCCACGTGAGACGCTGTCACGGGATGGGATAGACTCACAGACAGATGCCGACAGCACATCAGAACAAGACTGGACCACACCGTTCCTGTATCTTTAAACCCATCTCTGCGATGAAGAAATGGAGCAGCCGATCTGTGTGTTTGTTACGCTTCTACAGCCGGGGATCTGAGCTCACACAATTCCTCCTTGGCGAAGCAAATCTGAAACACTTCTCAAGAATCCATCCACTACCCGGGGACTAGTCCCTCCCTCTTCCCTTCAAGGACCTGGCACCTTCTGTCCTGCGATCGATCAGGAGGTCGATCGATCTCGGAGCCTAGAACTAGGACTCAGCCACACCCACTACAAGCTCTGCCAAATCTCAAAAAGCCTAATTTTGAATGTCTGTGTCTGAGACCTGCAAACAGCTAATGAGAATAGTCTATTAATATGTTAGCTTGCCATTTAAATATGTTCTGGTTTGTTTTGTCATGTGTTCATAATGTTTAAAAAAAAAAACAAACAAACAGGCAGTATCCCTCTCCTGATCTTATATAAATAGCACTCATGGGTAGGAAAGGAATGGACTACAAACTCTGAAACACAAGCACCCCAGCTGAAGCAAGCTAGCCCTTATTTCTGCTGCTGTTACTGAGATGTGGCTTTGGCATGGTTGGATTTCATTAAAAAATTCCTGGCCGAAAGGCTTGTGAGGATACATCAGTCTCTATAAGCATCAAAGTTTGTAGTTCACTTAAAAATAAAACGTGCGGCCTCCTATTTTGCTGGGATGTCTCAGAGTTACAGTTGTAAGAAGTTTAAAACAAACGGAAGCGCAGGGGAAGCCAGGCGAACAGGAGAGATGGGACGGGCGGATAATCGATCGACTCGCTCGAACATCCCCTAACCCAGGACAGAAACGGTGGTTTTACCTGTGGCTGGAAAGGCAGGAACGTGATTTAGACCCTCCCCAAAAGGGAGAGGCCGGCGTGGCCCTGACCTTTCTGAGTCAGAGACCAAAGTCTGTAGACCAAGACCCAGAGGGCAGGAACCGCCAGACCACCCCCAACGCCGCACTCAGCGTTCCCGGCCCACAGAGCCACAGGCATGGGAGCCTTGCCTTAGTCCACGAGTTTGGAAGAGAGCCGGCAGATGCGAACCGACGTTTAAGATAAAGTATTAACACTTTACAGCCAAGTAAAATATAGTGTTTACATTCTTTAGGTCCTGGGGGTGGGGGGCGGGAGGGGACCGTGATAGGACAAAGTAGCTCAAGCAGTGATTTCCTTAATGTTATTTTTCTGATCGGTAATTATTTTGAACAGTACTTAATTATTGTCTGTCGTGAGACACTAAAATCAAAAACAGGAATCACAGTTAGACTTTAATTTTTTTTTTGAGATTATCGGCGGCACAATCACTTGTAGAAACTGTAAAAAAAGAAAAAAAGAAAAAAGAAAAAAAAAGTATCTCCTAGCCCCTTAATTTTTTCATAAATGTTTCTGGCTTTTGAATAGGTTATTTATATTGTATATCATAGTTTCAACTGTAGACAATTATGATGCTAATTTATTGTTCCTTGGTTTCACCTCTGTATAAGATATATAGCCAAGACTGAAGAAACCAAATATATGTGTATACTGTAGCATGTCTTCAAGTTAGTGAACACCGTTCAGGGACAAAGAAGGGTCTTAATGAATTAAAATCATTCACTTGATTACATGTCTGTAAATCTTCCTAATTATTTCTGTAGTTTATTTAATGTCTATTGTAAATTATGTGACTTGTAGCTTCCTGTTTTCAAGTGAATTTCGCGAGGGTGGCGTCTTTCCTGGTTTTCCTTTCCAAGCATTGTAAGTCGTAGACCAAAGATATTAGTTATTGCTTCTGTGTGTACAAAGAAGGCTCTTCTGTTATTTTTATCAACCACCTGTGCTCCTCGTCCCCATGAAGGGCGCACACCGGCTACGCTGGGCACCCGCAGCACCACACGCAGAGTCCCAGCCCCGTGTCCTCCCTGTCGCCCACAGAATGGCAGGAAGGGGCCCCCAGACCCCGGGTCCAAAGCAGCAAGCGGGCCGGCTGCACCGCCTCTGCCCAGTTCAAAACCCAGGGGGCCAGGAGGCACATGCAGAAATGGTTCCGTCTCGTACGCAGGAAACTCAAGAGACGGGCGGGGGCGGGGGGCAGCTGTTATTGGGAGGGTCTTGAACGTTGCAAAAAAATATATACTCCCCAAGGCATAAGAAACCTAAAAAATGTCAAACCTGAGTATGTTGTTAGCCTAGCGAATGGCATCGAGGGCAACCCGGAGTCCCCTGCACGCTGCCAGGGGCCCCCTGGGGCCGGCAGGTGAGACGTCTCCCTGTTTGTCGCACACTTGGCCACCCGGCCTCTCCCTGCACCCCCTCGCCAGTGACGGGCAGGTTCACTAGGAAGAGCAGCCTCCCGTTTGTAGCAAGGTTGGGCCCCGCTGAGGGCCGCGCCCGAGGCGTGGGCGCGGCCCTCGCCCAGCAGCTCCCTCGGGCGGCGCCACGCGGTGCCGGGAGTGTGCCGCCGGTGACTGGGTGACGGTGACGTTTTCTTACTGTGTCCGTGAAATGCACATTGTCATGTCCCTTCTTGCCAGGAGTTTCTCAACAACATGGTTGGTGTGTTTGGGTTTTTTTTTCCCCCAGTATTTCAATAAATATTGATATGCGCAGCCTGGTCGTGTTTTAAACGTCTTTCTGTTCTCATGCTACTGGCGACTGAAGCTCTGGGGTCATAAAGACACTTGGCTAGGGGCGGAGTCCAAAGAATTCCACGCAAATAGGTGCGTTTCCTCTCCAGACGTTTCCTGGAGCGACCCAGCCCCCTGAGTTGGACACTTGGAGCGTTCGGCCATGGTGTCCGCACGCAAAGGGAAGCAACTTACAGTGTTAGAACCGACTGGCAGAAACATCTGGCCGAGTCTCCTTTTTGGGTAAAGCTCGCTGCGCACCAGCAACCGCCCACGTGCTTTAGACCTCAGTTCGGCCTCCGGACTCGGCCCTGGGAGCTGGGACTGCCTTCGTCTGAAAGCTGCTGGTCGGAGCGGAGCCCCGTCAGTGGGGGCGAGATGGGAACCCCGGGACGCGCGTCCTTGGGTGCACGGCCCCATCCCTAATCAGGGCCACCCTCAGGGTTTGCTTCAGAAAGAAAAAGTAACAGAAATCCAGGCACCCGGCCACCACCAACTAGGTACGAACAACACCTTAGCCGCAAAAGCGTTTGCACTTTGTGGAGTTTAACCCTGAAAAGTAGCACATCTGTGTTCTAGAAACTAGCTTCCTTCAGTACCGCTGAGCCTTCAGAAATGTGTGCAGCAGGAAAATACCTGCAAACATCCAATCTGGACGTTAATAATTACCTCTATTACAAAATAGTGCAGGAACCAAAAACCCTCCAGAATGCTCAGAAACAGTGGGGGCCCCACCCTCCCCTGCCCCCGGCCCCCCCCACATCCCCACCCCTGCTCAGGTGACCGGAGTCATTCCCTCCCCTGTCACCAGACACGGATTCTTCTCAGGGTCCCCCAAAAAGATCCCAAGGGATCAGATCCAAACACCCTGCACGGCACTTAGAGAACCAAGACTTGTTTAAGCAACTAATTAGTGTCCTGCAAACTGCACCTCCCTTGTCAACCTCTTAACTCGGAAGAACTTTTTAAAAACTACTCTTGTTGACATTCCAGGGAATGTAAAAATGTTTATTCGTATTTAATTGGACTAACGTCCAGGAGAATGTGCAATGTGATCCGTTTTTACACATGTACACCCCCAGGTGATCCTCACACGGGCCGAGCAAGACATGGAACGTCACCTTCAAGATGTTTTCATCGGTGGTCATACCCAGTTTTTAAAAATGGTTGGAGTCTCTCAGAAGCCCGGGCCTCAGCCAGCCGGGGTCACGGAGCGAGAGCCGGGCCGTCCAGCCGTGCCCCCGGCCAGCGCCCCCCGAAGCGGCTGAGCCCATCGGCAGGGGGCAACGCCAGAGAAAGCCAGTTCAGCCGATGCCCATGGTAACTGGGGAGCAGTTTGTCCCTATAACCGAGTTTGGCGTTCAGACTGACGCCCTCTCTGATGTGTTTTCATCCGGAACCCTGGGAGGGCAGGTTCAGCCTCGCGCAGGTCAAAGCGCAGTGAAGCTTAGGGGTCTTGACGTTTCCCTGGAGTAACTAAGGCCAATCTTCCTCCACACCGAACAGGAAGCCGGAGTCAAGTCGCTCAAAGTAACTATTCCTGCAACTCTTCGATTCCCCGAGGCGTATGTTACAGGAAGGGTTAATCACTTGGTTGCTCTCAGGCTGTGGCTCTGGTTTTGTCTGTAGGCAGGTTAGGAACGGATACGAAACGCTGTGTTGCTGGGAAAGAGGGGAAGAGGCAAAAACGGGGTGTAATTACATGGACCACCGCTTGTCCCTGAAGTGAGATTTTCACAAAGGACCAAGAACCCCAGAGAGTTGAGGGCGCCGGGCCAGCCACACCCCACGCCGGAGCCAGGGTCCGCAGGGAGCAGAGCCCTGTGTCTGTGGGTCCCAGGCCGGACGCCCTGGTCACGGGATCTGAGGCTGTCCTCTGGCCACGTCCCGCGAAGCAGCCAATGGGAGACAGAGTTGTCTGTGCAGGGAGATGTGTTGACACTGGTTTGCATCTAACTCCTCAGCGTGGCAGCCCGCCTTTGCCGACCCCCAGACCTAACTGTGCGGGATTCCAGCCACACACAGCGGCCCAGACCTTCCGCACGGACGGGCCCAGGCCCGGGGTCCCTGGTGAGACCCAGGTGAGGGAGAAACAAACTGCTCTTCTTTAAGCCACGGTGTTTCGGCGTCTCTGCTTCTAAAGCTTAGCGCTCACCCTAACACACAAAAATGATTTCGCCGAGTCCCCCGGACAACCCCATCTTCCAAACAAGGGACCGGAAGCCGAGAGAAGTGAAGCAACCTGCCAGCCGTCCCCCGGCGAGGAGGTGCGGGGCGGGCCTCCTGCGGTCAGAGCGGCCCGGAGCCCGGCTCTCCAGCCCTGGCCGCGGGCCCTTCCCGAAAGCACATAGCCCAGCACCGCGCAGGCCGGCCCTCGTTCAGTAACCGTGCACTTCCTTCGGGCTCAAAACAAGCAGTGGTGACAGATGTGTTTTTTTAAGTGATAACCTCCCAAAAAAACATGCTCTTGGCTGCAGCAAGCGGCCGAGCAGGTATCCGCTGTCCGGTGCATCGGGAACACCCACGACGCAAAATCCCCTGAGCCGTCTGACAAATGAGACCTTGGGGCCCCCTTTCTTTGCGCACCCTCTCTGTAGGAAGCAGCACCATGCCCCTCACCCGGCCCAGACATTAGGGCCGACTGTAGGAGGTACGCTGCCTTTCTTACCTCCGTTCGACTAGGAGCTTCCCTCTTTAGTCTATCACAAACTCCTTTGAGAAACAGCCTACACACATGAAGTATGGAGGGCCGTGAGAACGGTTTACTGCAACGTTTACAAAGAGAAAAGGTTGTGTGCCAGTCCTTTCTGCTCACATGCATTGCCGTTGGCCCCGTTTCTAAAGCACACACTGTTTAAAAAATACAGATGCACGTCCTGTCCCAGAGGCTTTCCCCAGAAATACACGGGGCCCGCACACAGCTCTGCACCGGAGAGGGAGCCAGCGCCTACCAACACGCGTGGAGACACGGGTCCCCTGGCCCCTGAGTGCTGCTCTCACGGGGTTCCTTCCCTGGGTTCCTGCCGTGTGGCCTTGTGCCGAGCGTCCAACGTTCCTGCGACCATCCTGTGGCCTGGACTGCGGCCACCCTCCCTGGGCAACGCCAGCGGGTGCCCGCGCCCTCCCCCTGCCCCGCGCCCTCGCTAGAGGGGCCTGAAAGCGGCGGCCCCACGGGGGAGGGGAAGAGGGAGGAGCCTCCCCTGTCTCAGCAGGGACTGCCGGACGCCCAGCCCCTGGGCCGCCGTCCCAGCCGCCCGCTCACACCCAGGTCACTCGTGAAAATGAGGACAAAGAAGATGAACAACAGTTTTGCCCCCCAAAACACAGAGCTCTCCCTCAGACCCATCATCTTAATTCCTGCAGCTGCGCTGAAGGGGGCAGGATCCAGGTCCACGCGTGGGCGAGGAAGCTGCGGCTTCAGGGCCGACCCTTCCTGAGGTCACACGGCTGGTCAGGGGCCGGGACGCCCACCCAGCCCCACCCGACCACATGGCCCAGGCGCCAAGCCCCGAGCACGCGTTCCACTCCGGGCTCACGCAGAACCTGTGAGACCGAACGCCGGCAAGACAGGCTGTCCAACCCCGACCTGGGGGGCGTCTCTTTCTTTTCCTGACTGCAGCTGAGATGTACACGCACAAAGACAAGGCAAGAAAACACAGTTATCATGTGGTTATTTCACATCCTTAAAGATAGTCCCCTTGGCACAACCAGACACAAAGTGAAGGTAGCGCGGCTCAGTGGTTTCTGCTCTGACGCTGGTTTTCCGTGTGTGTGTTGTTTTGTTTTTGTTTCATTTCATTTTGATGTACACAGGACTCTAACCAGAGCCTGGTTTATGTTCAGCATGAAAACACAGGCGCCTCTTCCAGCCAGGTCGGTCCCTGACATGTCACCGTCCAAAGAGAGTCGGTGTCTCAGTGTGGAGGCTGCTGACGAGGCGGAGAAGGCGGAGACGGGACGATGACCGTTGGGAGGGGGGCTCCCAGACCGAGAAGCAGGAGACCAGAGGGTGGGCCTCTGGGCATGAGCTCAAAGGGATTTGAAAAGAAAAAAAAGAGAGAGAGAGAGAGACGGGATGAGGCTGTTACATGAAAAAGAAGAAAAAGCCTGTGATGTAGGACCAGCCAGGTAACAGTACAAAGTGCCTTTTTTTTTCCTGGAATGAGAGCGTTGCTGGATTACCTCATTCTGTGAAAACTGCAGCCAAATAAGGCAGCGACGCTGGGGGGTGGCCCCCGAGCGGTTTCACGGGTAGACATAACTTTTCAGCTCCCCAAGCACACTCAAACTTCCTGCGTTTCTTTCGCGAGGGGCAGTCCGCGCGCAGGCAGCACCCTGAGAAGTCAAAATAAGGGGCTTTCCACCCACTCTGATTTATGGCCTGCGGAGATGCCAGCTTCCTGTTTTCCCAGCGCC